GGTGTTCCATGTAGTGGAACACTGAGCAACAAAGGGATAAGTAACATTACATCTGTCTTGACTTGTGTAGAAACTGAAAGATTTGGAATTTAAATAAAAACAAAAATATATTTTCAGCCAAAAACTTTGCTAATTATTTTATCAGTGGTCATCAAGAACATGAATCATTAGTATTATAATGAGACTGATGATGATGCAAATGAAGGTTCTTTCAATATTTCTAAAATAATGCAAGTTAAATAATGAGTGCTAACATAAATTTTACTTAGGATACTAACTGCCAAACCCCCATCATTAAACTCTCAACATGAAATAATAATACAGTACAAAGTCTGAGATCCAGACATCCAATATCCAGAATGATAAAAAATCCAGACCTCAAAGCTACAAACAACATTTTTTTTTATATGCTTTGCGCATGCGCATTTGATTTTTCTCTCCATAATAAAACGTGCAGAGTCCTAATTCTTAATTTCATTTAGCCACTAAATAAAATACCTCGTTATTGAAGAAACAATCATTTCAGCATAAATTTGTGAGATCAATGATTTGGTTCCATAGCTGCATATCTGCTTAGCATACATCTTAAACCAAAACATTCAATATAGAAACATTGTTGATTTTATACCAACTAATATTTTACATCCCGATGAAAACCAGGCGAATGATTATTTATTATATGTGGCATTGTTGCATGGGCAATTATAATAATGTGCTTTTTGGGGGGTTTGTCCCGTGCACTTTCATCAGTGGGCGTTTGTCACGGAACCCAAGAATGTATGCATTAACCTTTTTTTTTTATGTATGTATGCATGTGTGTGCATGCATGCAAGTGAAGACCTTAGTAACAGACAAAACACAGGCATTTTTTATAGGAAAGCCCATATGAGCTATATAATAGCTACTAACCTTGAAATATGAGAAACTGGAAGATTTTCATGGGAAAAACAGGACAAATTTAAAGATTTTCATATTACATGCTGACACGATTTCAATAGAATTCCAAACTGACTTAAATTCGCTTCATACTACATGGTTCAAGTTATTAAGTGATTTATAATACTGTGGTAAAATACACTAAAATTTAATTACATAGTCTGAATTTTATGTTTTTTAGCTAATTTAATTTTGTAATTTTCTTAAGCTTTCATCCTACGTGCAGGGGAAAAAAAAAAAAAAATTATTTATCACTTTCAAATGCAATAAAAATAATAATTTATGAGCATAAAATTAAGTGAACAAACTCAGTTATGTACAATTTATTGATGTAAAGCTAAAATATTAGCAGATTAAATACTGGTTAATCTTCACAAAAAGTTCTACAGACATCTACAGTATATTACAATATTGCAGATTTAATAAAAATTGATAAGAAATTTTATGCTGAAAATCACAAAAAGTAGAGGACAGAATTTACACAATTTAAGTTTCATTAAGAGATAATGTTGCCATCATACCTTTTTAAGAATACATCATCATAATTTTCTTCAAAATTTGGCGATTAATAGTTTTTCTAAAGCTGCATTTGATGGGGATGATCTGAATTATATCCTTCTTTTCCTTACTTTCACTGAATACCTGTTGCCATTCAGCATTATTGCGAAGATTAACCAAGACTGATACTGCAGTATAAAAAAGAATTCGATATTTATTCTCATAGCAATTTCAGAGTTTTGAGATCAAAACCCAGCGCTTACTGATACATTACTTTTTCAAAATTTAATTAGAGATCTTCAATCTAAAACTTAAACCCTCCTGCAAGTTTATCAATCGTATTATCCCCAGGTTAATTTTCAGCTGTATACAACAACCGTAATTTTATAGCAACAGGACAAAGCCATGTTGGTAATAGTGAAATAAGCTAACGATTAAAAATTTAAAAACAAAGATTCCTTGATCTGCTAAGAGATGTGATGAAAAAAATGACAGCTATGATTACATGCATAAGGAGGATTTCCTAGGAAAATATGCCTCATATATACTTACATTAGAAAATCCCCAAAACAAAGCTTAATCTGGATTAAAAAATTGCACAGAATTAATTATGGGAACTGCAGCTGATACTTTCAAATGCTGCAGACAAAGAATGCATGAAAAAATTCAAACGTTAATAATATAGCAGTTAAAAATTATGATAAAAATTGGTATTTTTCATAACAGCTTACTCAAGAGGCACAAATGATCAGAATTCACATTCTTCTGCATATGTACAACAAAAGTCTAGGTAACATTATTATTAAGAGTAGTCACCCACAAGGACAGTGCTTAGTAATGCTGACTGCCATATCAAAGGGGCCAGATCCAAATTCAGGAGAATGCATAGGTATTTATTTGTAACGTGTCTCTGTAGCAAGGGAGCACTCAAAATACATGGTGAGCTGGAATTCTCTCAATAGGCTGGTGTTAGAGAAAAAAGGTTAGAAGACCCTCTAACAGCTCCCTGATGTATTCTCCCTCAGAATTCCAATTAGGGCAGAAGTTTAGTAATTAGCAAGGCCCGGTGATACCTAATATGCCAGCATGGATGCATAGGCATTGGCCTTCCTTTAATCCGCACCTGTTAACAATAGTAATTTTTTGCCGTATTTACATTCATATGGTGACGGTATTTCGATTATTACCATCTCAAGCAAAATGTTTATACTTTGTGATCATCAAATTCATACTCAATCATATTAAATTACATCTGCTACTTACTGTTTCATGTATCAAGACAAAATTTCCCTCAGTAATCATTAATGTCACAGGTTAATTTTTAAAATTTATCTTATTTAAATATTAAATGGCAGAGTAGTGCAAATAATAACTCAAAAACCAGTTTCATAAAACATCCTTTCATACAGGACAGACTCTGTGACCATACACTTTTAGTAAACAAATAAAGAAATTCAATCAAATTAGCACAAATAAACAAGAAAATATAGCTTGCTGAATGCAGAAAAGTTTCAGAATCTTCCAAGAAAACAAAATTAAGCAAATTAATGAAAAAAAAATTGAAAGTTGCGATTTTTTACCCATATAATGGAATGGTCCTAAAGATTTTTCACTTCGTTTTATTTAACATACCAGATGTATTTGCTTAGCTTCGGTTTTAAAGATCTGCCAGATTGTGCTATGTATTTAAAACTGCATTCATGAGGAATTTTGTAAATACTCCATGATCAATTAAAAACCTTAAAAATGAAAGATTTTGTATCACATCAAAAGATAAAACTGTGAAAACTGGGTGTCTGTCAAATCACATGCAAGTTAAAAGTTCTGATGCCTCCTAGAATGAAAAAACATGTTTTGCTATGTGAATAATAAATGTCCTGTCAATACAGTATAATAACAACATGCTCTGAAATTGAAAAGACATTTCCAGTGTCACACTCATTTGTTTAAATCTAGAGATAAACTTTTACGGTACTTACGTATTATTGGTTGGAGCTAACCGGAATGGTAAGTTTGAGTAAAAAAGTATGAATAAAAAGAACATGTACATTTATTAATTACAGATAATTTTTAATACAGTTTTTTATATTATTTTGTTTTAAAATATAAAATAGCAATTAAACCCTTCCGGTTTCGAATTTGAACAAGTTGGAGAATTATTTTTTCGGCGGAAATCTTTTGGCTATCGCTTTTAGCACTGATTGAAAACCGTATTAGTTTTGTAAAAAGAGCATGTGGAGATTCGCAAAATTTTCCTGCATTTTCCTGCAAATTTCTGTAATTTATGAGAAAATAGCAGTGTACATGGATAAAGTCAAGAGTGTGCGCAATGCCATTTTTGTGCAATTCTGGGAATTTTTTTAAGTAAAAATAAGTTGAAGTGTACATGGATTGCTTTTAGCACTGATTGAAAACCATATTCGCCATAATCATGTACACGTCGACTTATTTTTACTTAAAAAAACATCCCAGAATTGCACAAAAATGGCATTGTGCACACTCTTGACTTTATCCATGTACACTGCTATTTTCTCATAAATTACAAAAATTTGCACGAAAATGCAGGAAAATTTTGTGAATCTCCACATGCTCTTTTTACAAAACTACGTATAACACGTAGGGTTGCCGTAAGTAGGGTCGCCAAATTTGGCAATTTATGTGAATTTTGGCCTGGTTGCGTTAATGCGTAAGTTTCACTTTTACTACTATATTATTTATTTAGATTTATTAAGAATGATTTTTCACCTATAAATTAAGCATTTTAGCAGCTCATTATCTTACATCAACTTCAATTGATTTAATAGATACTTTAATATTTAATAGATATTTATTTAATATACCAAACAGCATATTACAAATGAACAAAATATTACAACTCATTAGTATTGTCACTTTCACTTCAGTCAGTCATTTTGCATTCATTTTATTCCATTCGTTTTAAGTAGTGCACTTCAAACCCTACTGTGATAACCAGACCAAAAGATAAGGAGATGGTAGCTCCATTGCAAACACTCTGATTTACATTTCTATCTCAACTTGCCTTTTTCACTTTCAAATTCCTTACTAAAGTTGTGTAATTATATTATAATATATGAAAGTTTCAAGTAAATTAGCAAAGATTATTTTGTGCTTATGTAAATTTCCTTCAAAAGGAAATTGAAGTATATTAATTATTTATGCAATATTAACAAGTAATGGTCTAACTTGTAGAGAATTTTTTTTTTTTTTTGCTCCTGAAGAAGAAAGAACGATCTCTGATCACTCTGAAAACTGATATTTTTATTCAAAATCTTCACTAGCTCAAAGTTGCTAATCTTTACTCAGTTTTCCACAACGAATGATATTTAAAATAGCTTACCTATACTTATTGACGTCTGATAAAATTCAAGATTTTTATTTTATGATAATAATACAAGTAAATAACCATATTTTCAGCATTTTATTCAATCTTCTAAAAAAATCCCCCCATCACTCAAAACTTTTTTTTTTCACAAAATAAAATATTATAAAGAACTGGTCAGTGTTACGATGAATTGGCTTATTGTTTTAAAGAACATGGTACTCACCAAGATTATGCTCCAACCACTGATGTCCTTCTATCATTTGTTCTATCATGGCATAATAATGTGATGTAGCTTCATCATTCATAACCCATCCTCCCGTAACAATTTCTAATTGACCATTGGATATGAGTCTGTAATTGATATAATACTCAAAAGATCATTTAAAAGCAGAAAAAATTTCAAAAAAAATATGACAGTAAGTTATTTATTAAAAGGTTTACCTTTTGACACTGAGTTGGGTGTTTCTATCAATCTTGTCCCACCACAAAGCAAAAAATGAAATTTCAGCCCATATAAATTTCCTCTTTTTATCATCTTTCATTTTCAAAACCATGTTATTTAAAATATGTTGCGTTTGGTCTTTGTAGTACTTTTCGAATGTTTTTATCCAGCCTATAAGCAAAACGGCAAAATATAAAATGTAACAACATAAATGGAATGCTTCTTTAAATTTTAAATAGGTGAATACATAGAGAGAAAAGTAAAATTAAATATGATTTAAACAACATGAAGAAAAAAGTACCTGGATCATTATGAGAATGAGGGACAACAAATATTTTTAGTTTTTTGTTCTCATTCCATTGACTAGAATCATATTCAATATTCCATCCTTGTTTCCACACTCCACCATCTTTGTTTTCAAATTCTAAACTTTCATATATATCTAAAGTCTAAAAAATAAAGTATTATTATTATTACACAATTTTCATTTATAAATTTCAAAAGTACTGCCATATAAAGTTAGTTGTTACTTTTGCATACTCTACATAATTTTAACCAAAATAATAAAAACAAAAAAGTGTTTTCATTTATGTTAAACTTTCAATTTTGGCTCAATGTAAAAAGCTTTTGACTGTTAAACTCTTATCTAGTAATAAACCATCAGAACAAATATAATATACTGACATAAATGTTTTAGTGTCACTGAGGCTGTTATCACTAAGCCTTTATCACAAAAAAAGACCAGAAAAAATTTCAAAATAAGTTTTTATTGTCAAATCTCAAAGTTATTTTTCGTTATGTAAAAATGAAATTAAGCATTTAATTTTATCTACTCAAAGTGAAAATTCCACATAGTAAAGTGTACAAATATGAAATGCAGATTTCAGATAACAGATGGTGCCCCAATGCAGTATGTATTACAAAGATTTGACAATGTGCCATTTTGTTGCATCATCAACAAATGTCAGATGCACATGAGTGATTAAAATGGAAAAATCTGTGCAGTGTTGTGCTGTTGTGTTCAGTACGTTGAAATTTATACCAAACAAAGAACATTCACTAACAGCATTAATTTTTTGTTTCCATTTGAAGAAATATGCTGCTGAACCATACCAATACTTCGAGAAGCTTATGGTGAACATGCTCCAATGCAAGACACATGTGAACGATAGTTTTGGCATTTCAAAAAAGGTGACTTCGATGTTGCAGACAAGGAATATGGAAAACCACCAAAAAAATATGAAAATGTAGAATTGCAAACACTGGTGGAGGAACATGATTCACAAACACAGAAACTACTCACCAAGCAACTGGGTATTAGTCAACAAGCTGTTTCCAACTGGCTACAAGAGATCGGAAAGATTCAGAAGACCGGTAGATGGGTACCACATCTGACTATTTCTTAGTTGCCTTGAACTAAAAAGCATCAGCTTTGTATAATAAACTTTATTGTTACTCTAAAACATAAAATTCTTTAAGCGAAATATTGCCTGCAGCGCAGTGCGGCTAAGAACGCTATTCTACTGAAACATAAACATGAACAACTGTTGCCATTCACACAAACTTTATAGTAAAATAAAGCACATTGCCAGTAACAAGATTATTGCAAAAATCATAACATAAAATTAAGCAGTGAGGAAATAAAATATACAAAGAAAAAAAGAAATGCAAATATTAAATATGCATCCAACATTAACGAAAGGCAAATGAAAAAGCACAAAAACACGTGACATTTTGCTTGCTCGGTATCAAAGGAAGTCATTTTTGCATTGCTTAGTAATAGGGGATGAAATGCGGATTTATTTTGAGAATTCCAATACAAAAAAATCATGGGTAGACCCAGGCGCACTATCTACATTGACCGCAAGACCTAATAGCTTTGGCAGAAAGACTTGCTCTGTGTTTGGTGGAACCAGAAGGGCATGATCTACTATGAGCTCTTAAGACCTGGGGATACAGTTAATACTAAATGTTAGCAATAACAATTGAGTGAGTTGAACTGCTCGCTGCTTCAAAAAAGACAAAAATACCAAAAGAGACAACACAAAGGTCATTTTTCTGCATGACACTGCTCCATTACATACAGCAAAACCAGTTCGCGACATGTTGGAAGCACTCAGCAGGGAAGTTCTACCCCATGTGGTTTACTCACCAGACTTGGCTCCTTCCGATTATCACTTGTTTGCAACGATGGGTCACACACTTGTGCTCAGCCGCGTGTTGGTTTGTATAAAGATGTGAAAAAAAAAGAGCTCGATGAATGGTTCGTAGCAAAAGGGGAAGATTTTTACTGCTGCGGTATTCACAAATTGCCCGAAAGATGGAAAAATTGTATAACAAGTGATGGAGCATACTTTGAATAAAGCATTTTTTTATCATTGTTCTGAAATTAAGATTTTTTTAGAGGGAAAAAATTTCTGCATTTCATAGTTGTACCCCTGGTATGAAAAATGTGCAAATTTTCTAGTTGTAAAACTTGTTCTAATTTGTACTAAATTCTTTACTACTAGAAAAGAATGGCCTTGAAATATTTTTACAGTTATTATTAACCTACAGAAGTATAAGTGATGAATCTAGTTTTTTTCAGCAAAAGAAGGCATTTCACTTTTTTGCTGCATGAAAGGGAATGGGGCAAGGGGAAAATGGATATTATTGATTAAAATAAAAAAATGAATGTTATTTCAAAGGAGCGAAGAATTTATTCCTTAATTATGATCTGAACTCAAAGAATCTTTTAGAGTTTGGTTATAGAAGCAGGAAGGCAAATTGAAACATCGCTTCTCTTAGTCTGCTGCAATGCCTATATCTTCAGTGTGACATTGAAGCATCTTAAAACATGTTTTTTTAAAGACCAATATCAAAACAACATTTTAGTAATCTTGAAAGACTACAAACATGAACAAACATACTGGGCAAAAGCAAAAAATATTGAGATTTTATAAATATGTATTAAATGCTATAATTATATTTTAAAAATCTTTTTAAAGTTTTGTTTATTTGTTGGTTTGAAATAATTTTAGGAAAATTAGTAGGCATGCATCAATATTACCAGCCATGCTTGATATTACTAATATGCCCTGTTAGTAATATCCACCCTGATTCTACTACCTTGCAAGTGTTGTCTTAGAAGCTATTTTGGATTGTATAGAAAAGAAGTGATTTTTATTATTATTTTTTTCCCCTGGCTGGCAGAAAGCGGTGATGGCTTCTTTTCTTATATCAACATTAACTTCAAACCAATTAGTGTAAGCACATAATTTTTGGTGCAATCTTCCCAGCAAAATGCTCTTGGAATAATCCAAGTTAATCTCCTGTTAATTTTTACTGCATTTTGTACCACACATTTACTTGATTTGCTGAAAAATTAGGCAATCTTTTTCCATGCATTTGGGATTCTACTAAATAATCACAAGTGTTCCAATTCGGAACTACTCTGATATGCGCCCTCAAGTCGCCAAATTTCTCGCCAAATATTTTTGGCGAGACACTTCACACTGCCATATTACTATCTAAATTTTTTGTCTACATTTTGAACTTTTAGCCTAAAATGTCTCCAAACACACGGTTTTCGCACATGCAAAAACTACGTTTTGAACACACAATTTAGCTAAAAATCCGAAACAAAAACAAAAAATTTAGATAGCAAAAACGTAAAGTTTCTAACCAAAAATATTTGACAAGAATCCATGTACACAACGACATGTTTTAACTTAAAAAAACATCTACGAATCGCACAATGTAGGCAACGAACGAATCTACAAACTACGCACACCTCGCTTTAATAAATTAAGATAACAACAATATATTTCAAAGAATACCATGTACACAGCATCCTGTTTAAACTTAAAAAAACATCTACGAATTGTACAGTCTAGACACTAAACAACAAAATACACTAAAATAAATTTCAAACAATTTAAAAAAACAACAATAACGACAGTAATTCATACTAAAGAACCAATGAACATAACATTCTACAAAATAAGAACAAGGATAAAATAAAATGCACTTACCATGAATTAATGCGTTTTCGAATAGCAGAAATATAAATTTCATACCGCCTTTAATATGCCGCCACGTAATCACTTTCCAATTTCCAATTCCCCAATTTCCTTTTCCCTTCCATTATGACGGAGTGGGGAAAAAAAAAAGGCACCTCATTCCTACCTTTTTACATTGTGCGTGAGCGGAAAAAAGTGACTTCGTTTCTACTTCCAAATAATTTTAGCGAAGTGTTTAAACCACATCTGATGTTTTATCGCTTTCAACAAATATGCCAAATTTCAAAACACGCCAATATATAAATTCACGTACATCTTCGGAAATTTTGAATAAAAAATTGTAATTTTTTGCTGGTTTGCTTTAAGATGATGGTAAAAATTTTATAGCTTATATTTCAATTTTTTTTTAAAAATTCATAAAAATTATTTAAAAATACTAATTTAAAAAGTAAATCATAATAAATGGGTGAATTTTATTTGGAATGAACCTAAATTTTCGAAATGTGAAAGGAAGAATCAAATAAGCTTAATAAAAAAAGAGAGATTAATCAATATATACCAAACTCAAATAAGATTGAGGAGCTAAAATTTTGACAGCTAATTTTTTAAAAACTACTTGTGCAATTTTTACAAAACTTGTTAGTTTGGCCTAATTTGAGTCATAGAATTGAAATATGGGAAACAATTGGTACGCTATTTGCAGAAAAAGTACGATTTTATGTCAAAATACCAATATTAGAACAATTCCATATATAAATCTAATACATATCCTAAGTCGTACTTTCGAGACATGAAAAACACAAGTTGAATTTCGTCAATCCGCCCAGTAGAACTGGAGATATAGAACCGGCGCTTTTTTTTTTTGTGCAGTGTACAACAGAAGGTATTATGATGGAATCTTAGCAGGTGCCAAACAGTGTTAGAATATGAAATGGGCCCTGGTTTGAAGGAAATCAAGACTCTTCCTATTTCTCTTTTCGTACAGAAGAACAGACAGACTAAAAAAAATAAAAATCTGATCCCACTGTCAGACAATCTCATGTAGAAAATTTATTTCATCACCAAAAGGTGGTAACAGAATGTTATCTGTGTATCAAAGAGTGCTGGCTCATACCTATTACCATATGCCCTACCTTTCATTATCCATTAATAATTACAAAAGTAAATGTTTCAGTGGCATTGTTTTTTATTGAGGCTTATCTCATTTGTCCACAAATTTTACTGTGGCAAGAAATGCATGATTGCATGGGTCTTGAGAACCATATACGTGAAAATATAACTTTGCCCAGATCTGTCCCAATTTTAGTGGACAGCACATCGGGAGACTTGGCTAAAGGGTCTTGTAAACCTTTCCCAATATCATCAAACCATTTGAGAGGACTTCAGCTTGTCGTGTACTTACAGTTCCCTGATGTCACATGCTGTTTTTATATCTGGTCATGAAAAACTGTATTTAAAGTACAATTCAGAATTTTTTACAGTATTTTCCAGTTATCCACCCAGTGCTCCTGCAAATTCAACAGTTGCTGGCTGACAACCTAACAATGAAAAACAGTAGCTATTTTTTTTTTTAATGATGGCATGCTGAAAATTACTTAAAACAGCAATGAATTAATGAAATTAAAAATGAAACAAACATCCATAGCGAAAAAATAAAAATTACACAAAATAAACATCCTTAACAAAACACTCAAAATTTCATAAAACAGTAACAAATTAACTAAAAATGCATCAAATATCCACAATAAAATATTTAACTTTCTATTTTCGAAGTCCTTGTACACAGAAACCTGTCAACTTTTAAAAGAAATCAGAAAATTGCAGAACTCCTAGCATTGCACAGCAACCTGACACGCCTCTCCTTGTACATATCAACCTCATTTCACTTTTTTAAAAAACAAGTCAGAGAATTACTTTTCTTTGGCAAAACCAATATTTTGACTTTTTTCTTTTTCCGTACTAGACATGCATACTTCTCGAATATAATTGCATCAATCAGTAGTTATACTTGGAAACATATCAAGATAATAAGAACCACAAAAACAACAAAACTTCCCAGATTTTGGATATTCTTCAGCAATAAGAAAACTAAACTGCTGTCTAAATGATATTTGGCTCTTCTCAAACCAATTTACTATTTGCATTTGAACACCTTGCTGGCAATCGTTAACAGTTATACAATTCAATCGAATGCTTTACAGGAGTACCAAAATGCCCATTACATGCTGGCACAAAGCATGCACAATTATCAGTCAGCTGCCACATAAAACATATATTGGTTATATTTTGGGTTGCCTACTTTGGCTACATTGTGCTTTACCCAGTGATTCTTCTCACCATTGGAAGGGGGGATAACGTAAAAGAACCTTTTTTACTTTAACTTATACAGTTTGGTTTTAAATTAAAATTTTAATCTCTCAACAAGGCTAGGACCAAATTTGACTGTAAACCCATGTTTACATACTACATTGCATGGGGATTACTTACATATGTATTAAAAATGTATGCTTATTTATACAATACAGACAGATACAGCACATAAATGAAATTTTCTATACTTACATTTTCATTTGCATCAACAGGAGGCTCTAAACATAGTTGACAGTCATTGTTATATAATTTTACTAAACTACGATTTGTTTTATGTAGAATATGTTCTGGAAAAGAATGATGATGATATGGTTCCACTTTTAGCAAATTTTTTACAGTATCCTTTACTTGTGATAACATAATTCTGTTTCGCTGAAGTTCACTTTCTAATTTTTCTAAACGTTGTTCAAGCAGTGATAATTCTCCCTAATGAGAAATAAAATAACATTTCCAGAATTATTATAAGTTATTATACTGTATGAAAAGCATTTAAATGTTACTATAGTTTAAACATTCACTATACTTCATTCAAATGGCACCCCAAAATAGAGTTTACTAAGGTTAATATTTCAAGAACAAAATTATATAGATGCAGCATGTGTTATATGATGAAGAGCTTGTTTTTTAATACAACTGCCATGACAATAGAGGCAGGCATATGCATGGAACATATTTTTCAATATTAAAAACAGCAGGATAATATACCTCAACACCTCATAAAATATGGTGTTCAGGCACTGCTATTATCACTGCCATTTTGAGATAGTTGTCAATTCAAAATCAAAAGACCACTAGAACATTCACTGAAGGCTAAGAAAAAAAAAAAAAGAAAATTACTTGCCAGTAGGTATGGACTGTATGATATATGGTCTAAATTTTTTAAACTGAAAATGTGACCAGTTTCCAAATTGTAACAGCAGCGGAACAGTAAGCATTCATAGAATATATGTATATTTGGTACTGTTCTATTATCGGGGCCGGATTCAGAAATGTATGCATGTGTATATGTATTTATATATGTGTATAGACATGAACACATACATCCATATATACATTTTTGAATTCGGCCCTGATAACAGAACAGTACCGTATATTTCATTAGCAGCAAAAAATAACAATGTGTTACAGCAGTTAAAAAACATTCCAATGATAAAACACATACAGCTGTATAAACTGTTGATCCTATCCCCCCCTGGAAAGGTAAATGACAACATACCTTTCTGATCCTAAAACATGGTGTTTATCACTCTGAAGGAGAGAGAATCACAATGTGACTTTCTGACCAGGAAAAGCCTGGATGTTACCTTCTGCATCTTCATGCTTCATTTCTGTACGTGAATCACTGCACTGGCAGTGCCCCTACCGAATGATTATTATTGCTCTACTGACAAGATTTATTATTAGATTATTATCACATGAATGATACTGCATATCTCACCTTTATGATTTTTGATGACACAAAGCTTTATTACATAGATTACATGACTTAAAATAAAAACTCCAACTTTAATTCAGCAAACTGGCTGTGATGATTACATTTTAATATTTACTTAGACAAATTATCTTTACTCAGTAATCAAATTTATTGCAGATTCTGGTGCCAAATCTGATTAAACTGTTAAACCTCACAAGTAGATAAAAACAAACATCTGAAAAGTAAACAAATATGTAGAGCAATTCAAAATGACAACATGATATCAAACGGCTTTATTTCTAAAATTTACAATGACAGAGCGAAAAGTAATATATGAAATGGAACTAAGTATTTTATGTAATTTCTTTTGTAGTACAAACAACAAAAAAAAACAAGCACATTCTTGACTGCTTCAGCACATTCTTTATGTAGCAACTGCAGATCAGATTTTAAGATCATGTACATCTGTGGGCAATTTCAGCAAAAAATAACAAAACATCTTAAATGCATCCTCAAATAAACAAATCATATGATTTAAGATTTGGAGACTTAGGCAGGTTAGCTATAAAAACGTTACTGGGACATGGATTTAATTTTTAATTTACATTGAAAAAATAAACTTTTTTAACTTTCATTGTATTCAATGAAACTACAGAGAAATAGCACAATGTCGATCCTAAACTTCATTTTAAGGTTTTTATTGTATCAAATGAACACAATGAGAAGAAAAAAAAAAAAAAAAAAACCACATCATGAAATGCTAAACTCATCTATATATAAATTAAAACAAAGAAATTACAGAGATTTATTCAAGTATGCAATAAAATCAAACAGAAATTTCTTAAGGATGTTTTAAACTGTATATATGAAAATATAACAGGTAACTTTACAAGTATTGTCACTGAATTCCATATTTATTTACTATTACACAAGTGTGTAGATTCTGGGAAAATGAGTTTCCCTAAATAAAATCAATTAATTATTAAGGATCAATAGTATTCTATGAAAATGGATTTATCAGTAATATGACACATAAAATACCTAATTCAGAATTTTAAAGAAATCTAAGCTAAGAGGATAAATATATAATAAATGACATACAGTGGCTCCCAAAAGTGTTCGTACACTTATGATTTTTATTGAAATATGGCTCTATCCATTAATTAAATGTAAACTTTCTGAATGACATTTTAATAATAAGATCTATAATCTATTCATAACAAAATTACATGAAATATTTTTTAAATATAGCGAAACTTTATTTTTAAGAAATTAAATCAAAAAAATGACAAACATTTTATCTCACAGTCTTCGTACAGTGAAATATTTTTGGATAAAATCAAAATTAGAATTATCGTTTGCCGCTTTTTTTAATTTTTGCATTGTGGTCGCATTTAAAAAATCGTTTGCTTTAATTTTTTATTGTTTGCTCCATAATATTATATTTTTTATTGAAAAATGGGTCGCAGTCATAAAGAAATTACAAACAGCACTCGAAAATTGATAATTTTTCACCATAGTAGTGGTAAATTGATTCGAAATATCACTAAATTAGTTAATTTATCCCGTTCTACAGTGGAGTATGTGATAAAATGCTTTAAAGAAGAAAATTGGATTGAAAACAAGGTAAGAAAAGGTCGACCGAGAAAGTTAACTAAACGTGATGAGAGATTTATTATTAGAAAATTTGTGAAAAACTCACGTTCCAGTGTTGTAAAAGTTTCTGCAGAATTTAATGCAAAGTTTTCTATGCCTTGAACTGTTCGACAAGTTCTCAGAGAAGCTGGATTACATGTGCGTTCTGCCCGTAAAAAAAATTTGTTAGGGAGAAAAACAGAAAGGTTAGGCTTTCATTCACAAAATCAATGATAAATACACCCGAAACGTACTGGAATAATGTCCTACTTGCTGACAAAAGCAAATTTAACATTTTTGGTTCCGGTGGTCGAATAACTGTATGGAGAAGAAAAAATGAGTAACTTCATTCTAAGAACTTAGTTGGAACAGTTAAGCATGTCAGTGGAGGTGTTCTTGTGTAGGGGGGCATGAGAGCATCAGGACTAGTAAATTTGGTATTTATTGATAGAATAATGAATCATTCTCTTTATTTAAATATTTTAAGAGACAATTTAAAATTATCATAACAAACTTTATAAACTTACTTTAAAGATCATATTTATAGTGATGAGAAACAAGGTTAATTTTTTTATGAATTAAAAAGGTATTTATCAACCCATCGAACATAAAACCGTCAAAATTTAGCACCAGTTATGGATAAGCATGATGTAAAAACATATTCATAAAATCTATGCTTTCATTTGACATAACCATAATTGATTCTCGATGAGCCACATTTTCTTTTTTTTAAATGAGAAATACACACACTGATCAATGAATTAGAAACGTTCCCGAGATTTTCATTTGAATGCGTGCTAGGGATGAATTATGCAAATGTTTTTTATCACGTGGGTTACACGTGGTTAAAATGCTAGTTAAGTAAGGTATAAGAGTGCTTTTCCCAATGAATAAAGTAAAACAGAAAAAGCGACAGATCTCTCACCATTTGAAAAAAAAGCTTATTGTTGGTGCCTGTTTAGCAGGGGCCTCAATTTCAAAGACAGCAAGTCTCACTCGGTTCTCAAAAGCAGCCACATCAAAGGTTTTCAAAAGATGGAACTAGAATTCACAGTCCTTCTCTAGAAGACGTAACTATGGTTCGAGCACACTTTTTCAAGAGAGTGACTGGCAGCATCTCCGACGAACTGTACGGCAGAACACGGACTCTACTGTGCTTCAACTGACACAGATCATCAACAAAGGCTCTTTCCAACAGATTTCAGCTCGAACCATGTGTTGCAGAAGATAAGAATGCATAGTCGGGTACCTGTGAGAAAACCACTCATTTCTGCCCGACATGCAAGAATTCGTTTGCAGTGGTGTGGGGAAAGACGACACTGGACATCTGAGGATTAGAAATGAGTAATACGGTCAGACGAAATCATGCTTATTTGCACTGATGGAAGATGTCGAATTTGACGAGAACCCCACGAAGCCACCTTACTTTACTTGCAATGTGCAAGGGTCTGGTGGGAGTATCATGATATCGGGCATGTTCTGCTAGCATAGAAGTAGTGCCTTGGTGTACCTGGTAAACAAACAGCCATGAGATACCTAGATATACTGGCAGATCAAGTGCACCCTGCAATGCCGCATTTTTACTCTGATGGTGACAGATACTTCATGGATGATAGTGCAACTATACATCATCATGCCAGAAGTGTTCAAAATTAGTTTGCTGAACATTAGTCTGACTTCTAACACCTTCCCTGGCCACCTCATAGCCCGGATTTCAACCTCTAAGAAAAGGTGTGGGATATGATGGAAAGACACATCTGACATATCTTCCATCTCATTTAAAAGTTCTAAAAAGCTGCAGAGCCAATGCATGGTATCCTCTGGACATAAATGCGCTACAGAAGCATGTCGACTTGATACCCAGATGAACCAGAGCAGTTATCCATACAAAAGGTGGTCCAATAAAATATAGATCTTGGGTTTCTAATTCATTGCCTAATGTGTGCAATACAAAATAAGGATATTAAAATAAGATATATATTATGGTTGTATTTTCTTTGCATTTTTTTGGGGGGGAAGGAATATTACAATTTTGCTATCTGCTAACTGCAGAACCGCAAGTAGTGGGTTATGTTCAGTTATGGAATCCAAGCATCGAAAAAGGTATGTTTTAATGGATACAATATGCTTAGGTGAATATGGCTGATGAAACAAAAAAGATAAGAATAATTGCTAGTGGGAAATTTACATTCAGAAAATCTGGTAAAATTGGTAGGCCTAACAAAATAGCAGAAATTGATGAAAGCCTTTTTGCAAAGTGGGAAAACAAATCTGGTCAAAATACTGGTTGTTTATTGAATAAAGAGGATGCTGTTTCTTCAGCATTCCACAGGAATGACTGGCACAATTTTGACAGGATCTCCGGAAACTTTCATGGTTCGATAGTAGCTAACTTCAATAGTTGATGGGATAATACATAAGTAACAAAAAATAAATAAACACTTTAAATGTTTTTTTCAAATTTAAATGTTAAAAAACTTTTTTTCGCACTATGGTTGGCATCTTCCCTAATGTCATCTAAAATTGGCAACTTAAATCCCACACTAAACATGTCATTCATTAGTAATTAAATTACATGTTTAATTAAGCATGGCAAAACACACAAAGGTAAAAGAAGGGCAGTTTACATGGACGGCTCTCCAAGGAAAAAATAGCTCCCATTTCTGTTACACATGAAGAAAAATACAAAAAAAAAAAAAAAAAAAAAAAAAAAACACCCATGCGGTAAGCCCCTTCCCAGGAAGAGTCAAAGAACTAGTATATAAGAATCTTACCTACTCAGCCACTAATGTACCCAAAAATAATTTTAAATAATCTAACAGTATACAAGATATCAAAATGAATCATAAGCACAAAATGGTTTAAGAAGGCATTTATTTTTAGAACAGGAGAAAATCGAAAGAATACAGTAGGTTCCTTATTTATCTTAGCAGAAAAATATACACAGTGAGAAGAAACTAAGCAAATACATGCAATTCAGAGAATGTCTCTTAAGTTTTTCTTTACGTAGGCCCAAAATTGCCCTTCAAGATTCACATGTACGTTAAATACAAATAAAATTAATTCCCTCAGTGTTCTAAAAAATATATCAAATACAATTCCCCAATTTATATGTTAGTTTCATTTGCCTAAAACTTTGTCAAAAGGACAAAAATTCTTACTGGCAATCAAAGTGCATAAATAATTTTTGAAATATACACAATATTGTTACGTACTTTTAGTCTCAAAGATTTAAAAAAAAAAAAAAAAAAAATGCTATTTTATTCATAAAACCATAAGAAAAATGTTGATTCAAGGGACTCATGAAACGTTACCGAAAAGAGGCAACTGTGTTTATTCTATATTCTTGTACGTAAGAGAAAAGAAATTACTTCATATATAACAACAGATTATTGAACAATTTAAAGATTCCTTTAGCACCTTATCAATTTCTGTCCGTAGAATGGAGTTCTGTCGATCAGGAAATTTGGAATATAATACCCGATATAGAAAATATAATATTCCTGCAATTACTAATGCTCTTAAAACACTGATGACAACTGAATACCTTCGAAATTGAAATACCGAAGTTCCCAACCTAAATCTGAGCATTATGGCTCGAAAACGAAAAAAAAATTAAAGCCCACAGTAAAGCAACACAACAAACATGACAACAAGATCACTTCACCCGCTTCTCATCATACCACGCATAGTTAAATTTCTTTCCCTTCCAGCCAAACAAGCACTTTACTATTGCCATTCATTTAGCAAGCAAAACATACTCAATACCTTTGTGGCTTAGTATATCGACCTACATTTAATAAAAAGAGCAGGACTACATTGATACATTAAGCCCCAAGAACTAATTTTCAATGCAAGTTTGGAGTGCAATAGTTTTTGTTTCCGTTTTGAAATCGTAACTATAACATGAATGGTAAGATTAGTCGCAGTTTCAAAACTGAAAAAAAGTTACAGAAATAAGTTAAAAGAACGGGAAAAAAAACTATCACGTTTCGAGATGAATATTTGATCGTTGAAACAAAAGCAAACAATGCAGATTTTTCAGAACGCGCAATTTCTACCGAACAATGCTAGAAATAAGGTAGCCTTAGCTAGAAACGAAACAAGTTCTACAGAAACAAGGCCATGCAGGATCCATAGTGTTGCCACTTATCTTGTATTTCCCACTTCCTGTTGCCTTTTATTGAGTTGGCGGAATCGGCAACGGAAAAAGAGAGAGACTGGAAGTCCGTCCCAAGAGAAGGGTCTTTACAAAGTGTACAAAGCTATTTCATTCTGGATGGATTATTCTTAAAAAAGATGGTGTTGGTGTTGGTGTATTTAATTATGGCAAAGCACACTTGGGCTATCTGCCTAAGGGGAGGGATGCCTTCGTGGAGGACGTTTTAAGGGAAACTGGCTCGTATACACGTTACACATGGGGAAAACCACGAAAACACCCATGCAGCCAGCCCGTTCGCGGAATTCGAACTTCGGACCGAACTACCAGTGTTCAGCGACTTTACCGCTCGGCCGCTGGTGGGCTCTTAAAAAAGAAATTTGCACTTTTTGCGGGAAGATATTGTCAATTTCATTCTAATTTATTTCGCCATTTACGTAATGGGCATGATGTCAGTAGGAGGTAGTTTAATTGGTCCATCTTGCGGCAGAACTTCATTAACCTATCAACAATTAAGAGAGCATATTGGCGATATGCACGATATTTTACTTGAATGTGATGAACTTGCATTTTCCAACTTCGAAGGTAAGAAAATCTGTAGTTTATATTTTCTTAAAACCATTTGCAACACTAGATTAAGGAAATAAGATTTAGTCAAACATGAAAAATAATAATGCAATAGCGTACTGATTGCAATGTACAGCGATTCTGCTTATCGTTTACAGAACAAACTTTGTGCAAAATCGTGTTTTCCACGTGGATTTCGTTTGGAAAACATCCATTGATTGCATCCAAAATTTTTAATTTATTTCTACCATCATCTATGCGTAACGGGCTCTTTGCGGATAAAGACTCAAGTCATGCTTCATTGTATCGTAACTAATGTTACTGGTAAGGGAGTAATGTTGGAACAACAAATAGTTTAAAATCCCTCAACAGATGGCGGCATCAGCCAACAGCATTTTTATTCTCTAAATTAGGCTTGACAATAGCACATGCTAAGTTTAAAAATAAGACGTAAATAAATTTTTAAAAAAGGGTTCGGGAATAAAATTAACATTTAAATAATAGTAAATAATTTTTATAATTTTAAACACATTTTATATTTAATTATATGTATTCAGTATAAACTTTTATCTGTGAACAAGCTGTGTGACGTAATGCCTCCTGTTCTTGTTGTTGAAGTGGCAGCACATGGAACTTGAGGATTGATGCTGGTGTGATTTATCTTATCATGTTTAGGTCAAAATAAAATGCACCTGTAATAAAATAATAATTAAACCTGGATTAATTGAGTGCTGACTTTACAGTGAGAAAGATACACGCAAAATAAGAACGTAAAATACCAACAATTTCAACAAAGGAATTCAAAAAGAAAGTATTTTTAACTAAAAATACAAATTTGAAATATGATGTATGAAAATGTTTTAAACTTTTCAAATAACTTGAATCATACGAGAAATTCGACAGCTTAAAAAAAATACGAGAAAGAATCTGAACTGCAGACAAAAGAAGGGGGAAAAGCTACAGGTCTTTATATGAGTGCAGAAAAAAGCTGAAATTCGGATTCTCTAGAATGTTAAATAATAAAGTTTTAGAGAACAGCGCTAAAGAGCCAAGGTTGGCGCCCCAAACCTAAATTGCAACCCTAAAGCTTAGCTTCAAAATGGCTGATGAGTAGCCTCCGATTTTCTGTCCCAGACCGGAGGTGAAATAGAGTTACGAGGACTATTAACTAGAAATGGTGTAAAGGATTACGTAGGGGTTTTGACGAGAGATAAAATTACTCTGATATTCAACTCGACGCTTCATAGCGATAGAGCACTTGCTGTGGTAATGAAGAATGAAGTGCAGTTTAGCACGTTTCGACCGAAGAAGAAAACACCGCTAAAAGTAGTGATTCGCCAAGGTTCCGGCCTGCCTGATGAATCGCCTGTAGAAGAAATCAAGGCTGAGTTGATCAAAGATGGATTTTCTGTACTCAACGTGACGCAGTTTACTAGGAAAATTGACGGTACAGAGGTTAAGCTCCCAGTTTTCTTCGCTTCATTCAAGAGAAATGATGAAGACAGGAGTATCTGTAAAAAGAAAACTTTATTGGATCTCCGGGTCAAGTTCAGAAGGTTTAGAAGTATTCTAAGCACCATACTTTATATGCCAGAAATTATGATCACTTAGCGTTATTCTGTAATAACGCGCCAAGATGCTTCAAGTGTGGGCAGGATCACTTGACCTCAGGGGCGTAGCTAGAGGGGGGCATCTGTCCCCGGGCGCAGAGTCCAAGGGGCTCCAAACTGATGTTACGACATTTTAGAATTAAATGTTTTCCACTAGGGGGCGCGAAATCTTCAGTTGTCCCTTGGCGCTGAAAACCCTAGCTACGACTCTGCTTGACCTACTCCTGCAAATTAGTTAAAGATGAGAAAACTACTTGCATTAACTTCCAAAACGAACATATTGTTACGAAATGTCAAGGCGCGGTAAGGTAGCTTCCTCGTAAAGCAAGTTTTATGGTTGCCATAAAATAGCAAGGAAGGATGAGTTCCCCATTTGGCGACAAAATTGGCGATATGCCATGGACGGATGGAGAACTTTCTGGAACGAATTCTTACCGGTTTAGCCCAGAATGTTCTCGAACACAAGCCGAAAGCTATATAAAGCCTGCTCGTCCGCAGTCAGTATGAGTGTGCCTCGTCTAGCGAGCTGATAGTTAGCCATTGAGCGAGAGTCTCGAAGTCTAGTGCCGAGTTGGTCGTCGAGTGCATCGAAGATCCCCTTAGTGCATCGTCGAGAGAGTGTGTTAAGCTCCGGGAACGACTGAACCGAAGAGTTGAGAGCTGTACTCTGTGTGTCGTCGAGCGCATCGCGAGTTGTAGCGTGGAGAGTCTCGAGAGTACGTGGAGATCTGAGAATGACCGAGCAGAGTCGGGAGCTGTACTCTGATGCTTTGCAGTGAAGCTGTCTCCATCGTTATTGCCTGACAGTGTGAAGGCTGTGTCGCTGATCGTGTCAGCGTGTTTATAGTAGTTCATCGACGACAGTAAAAACGTGTTTTGGAGCTGTCCTGACAATACTGGACATAAAGTGTGTTTTGATACTTCATCAATTAGCATTGTCATTATTCACTTCAAATCCTCGCGAACCCCGTACGAACGTGAAGGAAGAAAATAGCGTAACAACTGGTGTCAGAAGAAAAACGTAACAATATAGCCTCCTCGAAATTGTGCGAATTCCCGCCCAAAATTCGCGAAGTCTAAGAAGAAATCGACTTCAGCACGGAAGCCATAGTCAGAAATTTCTCCTCCGTTGGCCTAAAAACCAGCATTGAAAGCCAGAATTCTGTCATCGAAATCCTATGCTGATGTCCCCTTGTCAGCTAAACCGGGTTGCCCGATGGAGAAAACTCTCCAGCTGATTGCTTACAAATTTCTTGAATTTGTAGAAAAATGTAGAAAAATTGAAATTCCCCAGGAAAAAGTGCTACTTGCCCTGGGAATGGTTGAACAAATAATGAAAATGGACTTGTAAGTTCTACCATTTCCACTGTATGATGAACTTGAAATTTGCTTACTTTCTAGTGCGTTCGGGCCTCAGGAGATGGCACCACCCTCTGGACTCTGCGCTCCTGCTCTGACTTGCAGTCACGCCCACTCATCATGACTGCCCTCTCTCTACACTTCTCTACACTTGCCATGTTTTGGGCTCCTATTCTCCTGCTCAAGACTCTTCCTCATTCCTTTTAGAAAATACTGAGGCTACTGCTGAATACGAAGCCAATTTTGAGGATATTTTTTTATTTTTTATTTTTTATTATTCTTTTTTTGGATTATAGAGATTTTTATCTTGAACATAAATCAAAGATAGAAACGCTATTAAGTAAAGATTCTGGATCTTTTATCGAAAGTTCTGCAGAGCGTGATGTGGTAATATTAAAAATTGCCTAAATTTGAATTAAAAATGTTTTCGGGTGATCCCAAAGAATTTTTAATATTTTGGAGTATTTTTTCAAAAATACATGACTCAGTGGAACTGACTTCTATATACAAATTCCAGTATTTACTATAAATACCAGTCTATGGTGCTTGTTTCAAGAGCTGCTAGATTAATATCTAGTTTCCCAATAACAGCTGAAAATTTTTCAAAGGCCCCCCAACAGCTGAAATTAAGATTTGGTCGGAGGAACTCCTAGTGCGAATATATGTCCGCGATTTATGCCACTGGTTCTGAAAATTGCTACGGCCGGGAAAAATTCCCCTGATTTAGCCACCCTCTACGATATCCTAGAGACAAAATTAAGAGCATTGGAAAGTTTAGGGAGCACAAAAGAAAAATTTGCTGACCTTTTAGAGCCATTGGTGGAGTCGTGTTTGCCAGAAAATGTTCTGCGAGCATGAGAAGGAGTAGAATTTCAGAAAATATTGATGAAGCTACAAGTCAGATATCCATGGAAAAACTGATGGGCTTTTAACGCCATGAAGTCGAATCAGAAGAGACGATACGTTTAGCTCGTGAAGGATTCGGTACAGATAGGGGAAA